GCGCAGATGTGAGCATAGGACGCAACGTCCATCGACCGATCCACTATCACCCGCAGAGAGTGAGGTCCCACTTGTCCCCAGAGTACGTGTCTTCCGCTGTCATCCGACCCATTCTGCAGATCTGTGGTATGGGAACGGCTGGTAGTAGCTCTTTTGGTTCGAGCGTGTCTGCGAGGGCTGGCTATTAAGGGCAATCTCATCGGTGGAGATTCTCATGCACCACTCACGACCATAAGTATCTTGAAGTAAAAGTAGTGTAATGGGCACAAGTTGGCATGTCATGGCTGTCACGCTTTGAAAGATGGATCCTCAGATGCTGACGCCGGCACATGACACCAGCACGGGGCTCTGAGCAGCCCTGTTTGTACAATGGATTCGAAGTGGAAAATTTTGATAGATGGGAATAAGAATGTCTATCATTTCATCGTAGGCAGCTGCTCTAAGAGCTCCCAAGTTCGTTGCCCATTTCATCCATTCATCTACTTCGGCTAGCCAGCCACATCAGCCGTGTGTATGTATATGCGCCAGAACGCCTTGCTTTGCCATGTATATTACAGAAAGAAGAGATTCATCCGCTTCATCCAATCTATCAGGGTATCTTTATGCGATGTTGCCGGCGAGACCAAGAAAGAGGGCTTGAGCTGCGAGCTGCAGTGTCCAAATGCCCACCTTCTTTATGCGTCGTTTACGTGTGGTTCGATCTTCGAGGACGTCGCGGGCGAATGCATCGTACATCTAAGCATGTGTTAGGACTCGTTTCTAGAGGGCAGCAAGGGGAATGAATATAGGACTCACCTCCTTTGACACCTCCTCCATTAACCCGCTATCGTAGAGGGTCCAACTGCCGTCGAACTCACTAACCCTCTTCACAACCCTGCAGTTCACTGGGATGAAGGTGCGACTTGAGTTCATGTATGCCACAATAGGTCGTACGAGCGCGTTGTTCACGTAAGAAATGTCCCGGGTGAAGATTGGGACTGCGGCGCGCACGTCGTTGAGATGGACACGCATGTCCATGATCATGTAACGGTTGTCCTCCTCTGTTTCCTCGTGGGGATGCGACTTGTCTTCAGGATGCTCATCGAAGCCGTGTACCGCGTGGTCAGAGAAATGGTGCTTGCGCTGTTGGATAACGGTAGCTTCCACACGATCGTACATGTCGGACATGACCTTTGCAATACTATCGTCATCGTCATTGGGGAACATGACATCTGCCACAATGTCGACGTTGCCTTCGTGGATCCACGAGAAGGGGCCTTCAAAGCCCCTGTTGAGGTGGTCGATGTTCAAGCCGTCGATACGAATCCGGCTATGCTTCTTCCAGGAGCTGCCGTCTTCGCTGTCGCGGCCGCTGCTCAACTGGGCGCCAGTATAGTTGTGTGTTTGTCTGGGATGTATGGTAAAGAGCGAGTTGTCGAAGGATCCGGACATCATGTTGGCAGAGAGGAAGTCGTAAAACAGCCATTGCTTCCGCAGCTGAGGGAGGTCGCAAGAGAAGATGCTGACGGAGAACGGGCGGAAGCCGTTGGGCTGGTAGATAGTGACGAGCAGATCTTCCATCTTGAAGGACTCGAGTTCGAAGTCGCCCGGGTTGTGCTCGTGTTTGTATGACCTGGGATCCACGCCCTCGATTGTCTGCACTGACGTCCGATCTACGACACCGCGGATACCCTTGATTTCGACGTCCTTCAACAGGCCCTTGCCGTTGAACCATTTTGAGAACGACAGTGTGACGTTGACGGTATCGATGGAGATGTCGAATTGTGTGTAGTTGGTGTCTTCTTCGGGTTCCGCTTTCTCTTCGACAGCGTCTGGAGTGTCGCTTTCCTGGTGGGTTATGGCGGCGGCGGCAGCAGCCATCTCGGTCTGTGAACCCTTGCTGACCTTTCCTTTGCCTTGGCCGGGGCGTCGCGAGACAAAGACATTGCGGAAAGAAATGACACCGTCTCCCCACTTGGGCACTACAGCGGTCTCGAAGACGACTTTTATGCCCGAGGACTTTGTCAAGTAGTTTCCGATCCACTTCGCAATCGTCTCCTGTGAGAAGGCGGTGTTGATCAAGAAGATGGTCAGCATGAAGAAGGTTGTAGTGCCCAGCACGATCCAGAGGAAGTGGGCGGCGATGATCCACGAGAACAATGCGTAGATCTCATCGGCATTGAAGGGACGGGTGCTTCGGATGGTAAGCCACTTGAAGTGGATCTTTATGCGCGACCAGAAGCCCGAGGCAGCTTCGAGCAGTTCAGCCTTGCTGGGGCGGTATATGTGGGGTAGGTGGTGCGGGAGACGGTCGAGGAGGGGCTTTGCCGCACCTGATGCTTCGGGCTTGGGCTTGGGCAGCGGTGTTTTGGAGGACTGCGGTGTCTGGCCCGTGGGCTCTGGTTTGGTCTTGGAGGAGCCATTCGTCGCCGAACTCTTGTTGCGGCGGTCGCTGCCTCTGTTCCTCTCCAGCGCTCGGCCCGCCTTGGACGATGCGTTTCTGCGCCATGCCGAGAAGACGGTGCCAGCCACACTCTGCTGGAGACGGCCGGTGCGGGGTGACGATGCTCGCAGCAGCAGACCGGGTGCGTGTCCGGGATGCGGTGAGGTGGTCGACAGCCCCAAGACATGCGAATTCGCGGTCATGGAGCGCTTCTGGATGCCTCCCCGCCATGGCGACTGCGCCTGTGCCTGTGCCTGTGCCTGTGCCTGTGCCCATGCCCCCAGCCCTTCGCGCGGAAGCACACGGCCGCCGTGGATCAGCGGCTGGCCAGCGACGGCGCGCCACAGGAAGCCGAGCGTGCCTACATTCTTGTTCATGATAATCGCGGCGGGTACATGGTCGACGTCGGCAAGCGAGGGGTGTGCGGACGTGTGGGGGGGCAGAGAGGGTGCCGTGTGCGGTGCAGGACAGGCGGGCGGGTGGTTGGAATACAAGATTCACGTCATTACCCATGCACATGCAAAAAGAAGGCCTCGCGGTAGAGGGACAGGCGCTAGCCCGCTTCGGGACGACTGCCGCTCGCCTCAGCCAAATTTCTTGAGCAGCCCCACATTGTCGCGAATCGATAGCACCTCCAGCATCCACGCCCGCCTACACTTCGCATACCGCATCCGCATCCGCATACCGCATACCGCTGCCAGCATGCCCGCCCCTACCGCCCTCCAGCGCAGGCCCGACGAGTTTGCCGACGATGTCACCATGGAGGCGTCGTCGGTCCCGCTCCCGACCGAGAGCGACGGCGACCTCATCTCCATGAGCCTCGACCCCGTCGCCGCCGCGCACGATGCCCCAGCACCCACCGACGACGACATGCCCATGACGGACGAGAGCGGGAAGCCAAAGTTCCCCGCCGCCAAGTCGATACCCCTCGCCTTCCGCCGCGAACAGCGCAAGGTCCCCATCCCACCCCACAGGATGACGCCCCTCAAGAACTCGTGGCCCAAGATCTACCCCCCGCTTGTCGAGCACCTCAAGCTGCAGGTCCGCATGAACACAAAGGCAAAGGCCGTCGAACTGCGCACCTCCAACGCCACAACCGACACAGGCGCGCTGCAGAAGGGAGAGGACTTTGTAAAGGCCTTCACGCTGGGCTTTGACACGGATGATGCCATTGCGGTAAGTGATACGAAGCCCTACACCTGAGCTGGCAGTCATTCAAACTGGGTCTGGCCTGGCCAGGCTCCTCAATTCGAGAACATCCGACTGACGACCCACAGCTGCTTCGACTCGACGATCTCTACATTGAGACCTTTGAGATCAAGGACGTCAAGACCCTACAGGGCGAGCATCTCGGCCGCGCGATTGGCCGCATTGCAGGCAAGGACGGCAAGACCAAGTTCGCCATCGAGAACGCCAGCAGAACACGAGGTGCGTCCATGACATGAATACCCCCGTTGTCCAGATTACTAACAACCCCCAGTCGTCCTAGCAGACCAGAAGATCCACATCCTCGGCGGTTTCAAGAACATCCACATCGCGCGCGAAGCCATTGTCAGCCTGATCCTGGGTCAACAACCAAGCAAGGTGTACGGCAACCTACGGACAGTCGCCGGACGTATGAAGGAGAGGTTCTAGACGATGCACACAAGCGAGAAATCTTGCATAGTAGCCAAGCAATGGCAACCGCGATATCGGGCATTTACACGGCGTTACGGACACTCGGGCAGGTTGGGAAAAGCTGTTATACCATCAGGCATGATTTGACGATTGGAAGAAGATGGATGGGATATCACATAGCTATAGAAGCAATTACGAGCGATGCATACATACTCGCATGGTCATGTTCGGTTTTGGCAAAGTACGAGCACGAAGATTGCACGATACCTATCTCTCTCCACAGACATCTATACTGCCCGCTTCCCTCACGCATCCAGCCTTCCTACAAGTACCGCACAAACCTCTCTCCCCTCCTCGCCCCAAACCCTCTGGCAAGGAATCCACTGGACACCCTCCATCTTGACCCCCTCTCCTCCATTCCCATACCACGCAAACCCCCTTCCAACATACAGCGTAGCACTCGTCCAGCCCTGTGCACCCAGCTTCCCTAGCACCTCCACATCCCGCTCATCCCTGATCTCCAACGTAAAAAAACGAGACCGACTGTGCGCCGGCGTCGTAGTAGTGCACTGGGGAACAGAGGCGTCACGCTCGTATGCGATGGAACGAGACGTAAGACCCGTAGCGCTCCACTCTATATCCACACCGCGCGGCAGAGAAGACACCTGGGCGACGAAACAAGGTGGTACGACTATCTCTGCCTTAGCCCCGGTTAGACCTTGATTTTGCGCAGTAGATATGGCAGAGCGATCAGGGATCGGCGCCCGGAACGTAGAGTCCTTGAAGGCCGAGGCGTCATGTTGGTTCAAGCGGTCCCAAGGATCAATATCCTCGTCTTCGTCGTCGTCAGTCGAGGAGGAAGGCGGGGTATGAAGCTTCCTCCATACTCCCTGCGCCGTCCGCACATCCCCCTCTGGAGTCTCAGAAGCGGGAATGAAACACACGGCTGCTGTCCACCATGTCACTCGCTTTGTGCGGCCGATGCGCCAGAGGTGTTGGAGGGAAAGGAGAGCTTGGCCTCGGAAACCTTGCCCTGTGTAGACGGTCATGGATGCGGGGATGAGCGGGATTTGCCCGGCTACGTAGACGACTTCTCCGGTGGTTTGGGTGTCGTTTTCGGGGTGCTGGTTGCTGGGGGGCAGGCGGGCGGAGATGGCTTGGCTGTAAGGTCCGATGTTTGCGGGTGCCCAGTAGCTTTGGCCTTGGACGTGGAGGCCCTGTCTGTTCACTGGGTGAAGGAGCTTTCCGTTTTGGTCGTTTTGGTCCTTGTCCGCGGTTACGCTTAGCATGACGTGTCTGTCTTCTGGCATGGTGTCCCCGACTGCGATCGTAGCTCTGGCTGGCGGGTTCACGCCGCTGAAGTATTGAGCGTAGATTGGATTAAGGACTGTAAAGTCTGCCATGTCGCGGAGGAGCAATGTGCAGTGGTTGACGCTGGATCTGGAAACATGGCATTGCTTCAGAATATGGTCGAGACGGAGGAAGATCTTGGAGAGCTGGCGAGAAGGGGAATCGGGTGAGGAAGAGGGAGAGGTATCGCTCGAGAGGTTGGAGTATGTAAAGACGGTCGAGGCGTTACTGAATGTATTCCTGGGTAGTCGGTCTACTATGGACGGGGGATGCACTCGAGAGGGCGACCAAAAAGACTGAACAGTGCCCTCTTTTTCAGTGGACGCAGAAAGCTCATTTTGGTTGCTGGCGTTTGTCACTTCCAGCACTCTCTTGAACTCGTCGTCAAAGAGCTCAGGTACCCTCAACGTGCCAGCATCTTCGTTATCGTCAACCTTTTCCTCTAGCGTACTCTGCTCGATCTTCAGCACCGCCTGGCCACCCTCCAGTTTCCCAGGTGGTCCCTCCTCGATCACTATCTTCTTCTTCCAGATCGATCTCGGCCCATCCAGTGCCAGCGTCTCAAACTCCCCTCCTTCACCCAGTATCGCGCCGTCACCAGCATCACCATAGCGCCCCATGGCCTTCGCTAGCCTTGCTATAGTCTTGTGATTAGCGACATCGAGGCCCAAAAAGTCTTCATCCAGACCACCAGACGCCGTCTTGATGATGATTGCTTTTTGTCCTACAGTCATCATATCATGCAAAAGCGACGATTGCGTATACGGTGGCAACAGCGGATACTGCCACAGATACGACAGTGGCGTCAGCCCTAGCCTGAGCGCAACATTCTCCACACGCGTCCGTTGATACGTGCTCAGGATGGCCCCTGTAGACACTGCGTTTGCCTCCGGATGTGCTTCCATGACCCTTCTCAACAGCGGAACCAAGTCTTCAGTCTCATCCTGCTCTTGCTTTTGCAAAGGCGTCGCATAGTCTCTGTTCGAGTCTACGGCGGTGCCCAGGATCTCTTGTCGATAGAGCGGTATTCCTAGCGCTTCTTCGTAGAGTGGGATGACCGAATGCCCCACGGTCTGGTACATGTAACTGTTGATGTCCTCATCGTCATTGGCCGAAGGCGCTGGGTGCAAATTGGCCAGTGCTACGACGCTGTGGCCGTTGGCTTTGCAGTGGAGAATGGAGAAGAGCGAGTCTTTGCCTCCGGAGATTAAAGCAATTACGCTCAATGACGGTGACATGGTAAAACGAATGATTCGAAACGGGCGACCGTCTGGGAAAAGCAATGAAGGAGTTGAGACGGCCCGGTGCCGCTCGTTGCATGAGACAGACGCAGGTGGATTGGGTCTCGCTAAGGGTCTGCGCGCGCTAGGTTGATCCGTGGGGTTTTGCAACGAGCGCGATAGTGTATTTTGGTATCAGGGTCCCGTCCTGCACCCATCGCTGACGGCTGATCGTCCAAAAGCAACAGTGCGCACAACGCGCGGCTCGCATGGTTGGCACAGTAGTCACATGCAGGGAAGAAGCATCGGAAGTATGTATGTAACGTGTTTTTGTATGATAGTCGGACAGTGCCAGCACCTCTAACCTACAATGCGCCGCAAAGAACGCAAAAGCATTGCTGAGCAGATTGTAAAAGTCTGACAATTACATGTATGTGTGATGAGAAAGAAGCGAAGATTCCCAGAATGTCAGAGGGCGCTCAGATGAGGCTGCCCGATTACAACGAGTGTAGGAAGCGCAAGATAAACAGCGGGGTAACGCGGCGACAGTGGCCGGTGTAGGGTAATGGCCATGTCGTCGTAAAAGTGAAACCAAAGAAAACACCAGATCTATCCGTCCGCCAAGGTCCGCCCCAGAAGTCCCGATAAGCCGTGCTAAACGCAAAACCAAACGACGAGAAGAAAATGCCAATCTCGCATGTTGGTACAGCCAGATCGGGTATGTAGAATACAGTGGGAGAAGGGAAGCGTAGAGTTTTAGCTGCAGATTGTGCAAGCTCGAGCCGCTGATGTAGATCGGTGCCGCCTGTCTAGCCATGTCGTGAGGGTGGACGAGCAGCCGTGTGGCGTGATATATAATCCTTCTACCAGGTGTTGTGGGGGTCATGAAGAGTCGTTAAGAGTTGAAAGGAGAAGTGTGGTAGAGAAGAAGGTTTACTCGTTCCTCTTGCGCTTCTTCTGGCTGGGGGAAGACTCGTTCTCGGATCCGTCTGAGCTTGATGTGGGGATCTCGGCAGCGGCGTTGTAGAGGATCTCGCCCATGGTGGAAGGCGCCTGTGCGCCAAACGCGCCGGGTTGGCCGTGCTGCATGTCCGAGTGGTGGAAGTCGGAGCCCATGACCTCGAGGCTGACAGCGCCAGTGCCGTGGGTGCGCTGGTGCTGCGACAGGTTGTCGCTCCTGGAGAACTTCTTACCGCAGTCGGTGCACTCAAAGGGCTTGTCGTGAGTGTGGAGAGAGCGGTAGTGGCGCTTGAGGTGCTCTTGACGGCGGAAGCGACGCGAGCACAGAGTGCAGACGAAGGTCTTGGAAGGGTCGTCGGTGAGCGACTGCTTGCGACCGCGACGGCTGGTAGGCGCGACGGGAGTGGCGTGTTCGTCTGAGCTGGAGCCGACAGCGTTTTCGGCTTGACCTGATTCTTGTTGGCTTGATGCTCCAGACATGGTGTTGTCATCACCGGATGTCTGTTGCTTACCCTGGTAGTCGGACTCAGTCTCGCTGAACTCGGAACGAGCCTTCTTGACTGTACGCCTCTTCATGTCAGAAGTGGCCGACATGTCAAAGTCGCTGGTGGCAGGGGTAAGGGGCAGGCCGTTGACAAGCTCCTCCTCGAAGTCGGTGAAGCTCTCGTCGCTGAGGAAGTCCTCTTCGGGAGAAAAGGCTCCTAGGTCAGTGCGCTGGCGCTTGCTGCCGCAAAAGTGGGCGTTGTCGGTGGAGAAGTTGACCAGGCCAGTGAAGTCGTCCTCGCAGTCAAGCTCGAACAGGGGCTCGAATGTAGGGAGTCCAGTGAAGTGGAACGACTGAGCAGGCTCGAAGCTGTCTACCTTGGCAGTCTCACCCTTGAGGACAACCTTATGCTCCTCGTCGCCGGGGCAAAGTGTGACGATAGGAAGCTCGGTAGTGGCGGAGACGGTGAGATCGCGGGGGTTGCAGAAGTTGTTCTCGGCTTCCGCAAAGGCAGAGCGGGGCACTGGTGATGGTGATGGGGAAAGCGAGGGGCATGAAGTTGCAGACAGGAGGTAGGACCCCTGGTTAGCCGACGGAGGCTGGATGTAGACTTGAAGCAGTTAGCAACGCTGTCCACGCACACACGTAATGAGTTGCCCACGCAACGTCGAGGCAGCGACATTGCTTGCACAAGACGATGCGAATAGTACATTGGATAAACTTACCTGGTGTCATGGGTGGGGAGGCTGAACGCCATTCGAGACCGGCAGAGAGGAGCTCAGAGAAGACCTCGCTTTCGCAGCCCTGCTTTACACCCTCGATACCCTCAGCAGAGAACATGTCGTGCAGCGGTGTAGGGAGGACATCGCATGTGGAAGGAGGGCTGCTGGTGTTGCTACCGCACGATGAAAGAGGAGGTGTGGCAGGCGAGAACGAGTAGTCAGTGTCAATGGGGTGAAGGTATGGCGAGTCTTGAGGTTGGATCAAGATCGTTGGCTTCTGGTACATTGGCTGAGGAGATGCGACGGGAGTCAGCATCTGGTTGGCGTAGGCGGTCTGAGGGTAGGACATCTGAGAGCATGCCGACGTTGGCCTCTGGTAGTACATGTTCTGTGCCTGGAAGGTAGCCTGTCCGAATGGGTGGGGTGTGAAGTGACCGTGTTGGCGTGTGTTCTCCCCTTGAGGGTCCGGGTTGTAGTAGAAGAATGGCGATTGCATTGCCTGGGCAGGGTGGATGGGATATGAGCCTTCCATTGCGTGTGTAGGTATGTGTTTAGTTCAGTGTAGCAGTTGTCGTCGTCGTACACGTTGTTGTTCGTGGGTTGGGTCGATGATAGAGTTGTATCGAGTGATGTCGAGGACAAATTAGTTGTACTTGAAGGCAGGATACTGGACAGTATAAGAGAGAGTCGAAGGAATGACTGTGGGCCAGTTCGTAATAACGAAACTGTCACTAAGATAGATAATGAAGATCAAAGAGTGTGAGGGCACAAAATTATGAGACCCAAGATGAAAACCTGAACGGCGACGGCGGAAAGAAACGAGAGGGACGTGGTTGATGAACCTTGATCAAGGGCAGGCCAGTGAAAAAGAGAACTGATGAGCGCACAGAGAAGGACGGCTCGCTCTAGTGCGCCGGGGCGCAGCGCAGCTCCACAAGCCAGCTAGGTATGGGATCCTGCATTAGACCCTAGCCTTGACTCGCGTCAAAAGCAGCGAGTGCATTAATGCATGGGTTTTTGGGCCTAAAGTTATTCGCCCAATGCATAGCTGCATGGGGCTATACGCGAAATGAGATGTGCGCGGCGGTTCCGGCAGGCCTCCAGGCATTGGCTACGTCGCCAGCACAGCACATGGTGGGATGGAAGGCCTGCACACTGCCTACGTAGTGGGTTCTACCGCCCTCTCCGAATGGAGACGATGCAATAGCTGAAGGCAACTGAGCCTCGCCACGGTGTGGCCGTTGTTCTGAACAGCGAGTGATGGGTAGCGAAGGGTGATACTGCCGATGACTGGGCGAGCGTCGGGTGTGTCTTGCGTCTCGTCTGACAAACCACACCACAGCATGCCCTTTCAGACGGCCCTCCAACTCGCCTCGAGATTAGCGCGCCCGGGCATCATTCAGCCTATCATCCTATCTGCCAATCGATAATGATAGCTGCGAGACCCTGCCGGTTGAACTATGTTTTGAAACATCCATACAGCGTCGCGTCTCTCCCGCTCTTCGTGATGGTGATGACGCTGCGCGCTCCACTGAATATGTCACGCACGACAACGCCGTACCGCCCGCGGTGCCACCCTCCAGCATCACAGAAGCAACACCGGGCATGCTGATGTCGTTGTTGATTGAGTGCTTTTGGACGCGCTGTGGCCGGCGTCAACGTTGCCCGCACACCACAAGACTCGCGACGCCTTCCTGCGATGCAGAAGCGTACGAGCGATGTGTCTCACGATGTCCACAACAACTCCACCAGCCACGCATGCCCAGAGATGTAGGAATGTATCGCGTCAAGTCGCCCGACGCGAGGGTAGAAAAATGGTCCATTGCCACACCCATCGCGCAACACTGGAGCGAGAACTTGACATGCCGGGCTTACGCAGGAACGTAAGCCATGGTGCAAGAACAGGATCCCCGTTGAGCGTGATTTGCCCGCGAGCTGAAGGGCCTGGGATCCGCGCCCTCCCAGTGGTCGAAAACACGGCTATTCTTAATGGTGCGACATACTCGTGTGCAGCTCTCTGCAAGTCGCCACCGATACCATTCTTCTTCGAAGGGTGTAAAGAAATTCGGTTGGTGGGATGCATGGTCATATAGCTGCACATGCGGCCTTAATCCATCTCGCAAGTGTGTTTCAGGTGTTGGGCTGCCACTTCGGCTACCACTCGCGCAGCGACCGATTGTGGTGGTGTACCAGACAAAGCAACCAGCTGCTCTATCTAGGTATCGATAGTAGACGCAGTTGGCTGGCTATGACGCGGATGAAGTGGATGCCTCACCATTTACACTTCCGCCGCGGTATGAGTTATGCATGTTGGTGCCTCGTATAAGATTCGGCACAAATAGAAACGAGCTATCGAATGCTGCGGGTGCAAAGTTATGAAGCCGCCGGCGAGGCCTAAGTGGCTTACTCGTAAAAGCGGCGTGTCTTTCGCGTGACAAGCGTTGGTCGACTCGAACAGGCCCGATGGCATCCGCCTGGCCGTCATCCCCCACATTGACTGCAGAGCTTATTGATCGAGAATAGCGTCTACTGCAGGTACAATGCAGGAACAAACGGTAAGTGAGACCCCGTACAACATGCGGGCTTATCGTGACTCCAGGAAAAGATTTCGTGGGATTTTCGCGCCGTCTGCTCGCCCTACCACTGTCGTCATGCTCACTGCTTCATGTCAAGACGATGCAATTTCTAGAAGGCCACATCAGCGGGGCTCCCTTACGACTCAACAGGGTCCTGATGCGACTCAAGTTGAAGAAGGGCTCTTCCGTGGTGTGGGCCGTGTCGGTTAGCGTGTGCGGCGTGGTCATGCCATAGCTTCGGCGCCGGGGAACGACGCATGGCTTCCATAGCACAAC